TTGATAATTGCCAGGTTTTAGCTTGTTATCGAAATTGTCTCTATGATTTGGCTAATCTAATCAATTGCTTGCGTTCTGTTTTTTTTGTTTTTACCTTTTTGATTATTGAGGATCATATCTGGTTTTGTGTTTTCATTTACTGAAAGTTCGTGATATGAATTCTATTGTTATGATTGTTATTACAATATAGTTTCGGAGAATTTCCGGTTGTTGGAGGAGCTTGAACGTGGGGAGAAAGGTATTGGGGATAGAACTGTGAGCTATGGAATGGATAATGGAGATGATATCTATATGCGTTCTTGGACTGGCACCACCATTGGTCCTCACAACGTAGTTATATCTTTTTCTTTATCTACTTTTGTCCTCATATCTGCAACTTAACTATGTTAGCAATTGTTTTAAGAACCTTGATTAAAGTTCTAAGTTATCTTCATTACTAGTTCAATTTTCCCTTCCTTCATTGCTAGACTACAAAAAGTCAAAACCACATTGTGTTTTAGGCATCAATCTGATCGATACATGATCTCTTACGCTGCATTTTTGTCTTTTGCTTTTGTTTAGTCTTCCAGTTGTTTCCAGTTTCATCTTTGTTTACGGTTTGGTTTGGACAAGTTTGGTTGGACCAGTTTCATTAGTTTCATCTTTGCTTTTCAAGTTTGGTTGGGTCATCTTACATGTGGATCATCTTTGTTCTCTAATTAGCAACATGTCTCTGTGAATGATTGCACACCACAAAACATTATTTTTATATCATGTATTTGTGTTCTTTTCCTAGTTTGTGTTCTTGTACCTAACTCTTTATTTTTTTCCATATATACAACACTTTTGTTTTACAAAAAACACAAACACTTCTCTCCATCTCATCAAACCACTCTTTCATTGCTATATATGTGTTGTAACCAAATTTTTACTAACACTTTTAAGAACCAAAAAATTTAACCAAAACACTTCAAATTTAACCAAAACACTTACAATTTTTAAGAACCAAAACATTTAAACTTCAAAAATTAAGTTTTCGTTTGCAACAGTTATTAAGTTTTCTAAAATTAAAATTGTTAAATTAATTTCTTTTTAAAATTAATATTTTTTTTCTAAGAACCACATGTTAAAAGCCTACCATTAAAGATACATAAATCTTAACCCAAAAATGAAAACTCTTAACTATCTTTTTTACAAAATTAATACTTAAATACTCTTAAGAACCAACAATAAGAGACCCTTGATAATCATGCTCTAAGTGGCTTAGAGTAGAATTCGGTTGTTGGATTACTGACCATCTTTTCGTCTGTGAAAAAAAAAAAAAAGTACTATGGTCTAGAAGAGTGAAGACGCGTTGCATCAAGTTGCAAAGAAAATAAAAGAAAAAAAGAGACGTTGCATCAACAGCTAGGTTTTAGGTGTAAGGCTATCCAAAGGGGACCAAGAAAAAATATTAAAAAAAAAAAAACAAAACACCAAAGAAGTGAATAGTAAGAAACTAAAGGGTAAAACGAAGTGAAAATCACAAACATGTTAACATTTTTTGAAACAATAAATAAATATGTAAATTTATTGATTTATTTGTAAAATGATAATGAACTTGAAAATATTTAGGTAAAGAACAACTAGTAGGCATTTTATCGTTATTAATAAACGGAAAAGCCTCTTAACATTATGATACTATATTAATTAGCATACAATTTTATTATTCATTTGACGCTTTTAGTCCCGTGCTAATAATTGCTATCATATTTTTTTGCATGTGAATGATGTGATTTAATATAATATCGTGATATTTTATAAAATACTGTAATAGTTTTTCTGTCATAGGTTTAAAACAAATGTACCATCGTATTCGAAAAAACAGCAAGCCATGATGTGGGAAAATGGCACTTTGATACATGTATTATTCTCGACGTGATGATTTCTATCTGAACTACATGACCATGCCAAAAACTACATAATCTATAGTTGTGAGTTGTTTCTTCGACCATGAATTAAATTATTCGGTTAATATATGACATCTACATTGATCCAAACAGCATGAATCAACATGTTAGTGCATACGAGACAATATTAACTAAAATGACGTTAAATGTTAACGCATACATATATACACAACAATGTTAAACTAAAATGACGCCGTCGTATTGGTAAAGAAGAAACGACGTTGTTTGGTCAAAAAAATAACGCATAAATTAGTCCGGGAACTTATACTAGCTAGTCGAAAGTAGAAACGATAAAGACAATTTCCTCAAATCGATTATAGGTTGTGCGATAGAATTGACACATTTATCTACTAGGCGAGGGAGTCGCAACTTCAGTACAAGCGAAGGTGCAGAGTTAACGAGTTTAAGTTGTAGACGCGAGAATTAGGTTAAATAAAAAATTTAGAGGTTAAAAAAATTAAAAAAATTAGAGATTTGTGAATTTTTTTCATTTTTATTGAGTAATATACATAATTTTCTATTGGTACTACACATATTCTTATAGAGTTTTGTGAAATTAGTAAGACCATTCATGAGTAAGATACATATTTTTCATGAGTAAAATACATAAAATGATTTTTTTTTAAAATACATGTGCAACATTCATGCGTAATGTTGAGGTAAATATATTTTTTAATTTATTAGCGTTGAAAATAACTGAACTTTTAAAATATGAGATTTGGTGCAGGGTGCGTTTTAATTTGTATTAAACTAGGTTTGACAAAAATTGTAGATATAGAAATTAAAACCAAGACAAAGACGAAAAAAAAATATATTAGAAAGCCTAAAATATAAGATTTGGTGCAAGGCGCATTGATACCCAAAAAAAAGATACAACGAGCAAATTTTTACGAGTTCTTAACGTATTGGTGGTAGAGGTTGAAACTCACTTATTAATATTATATAACATTTTTTTGTCATTATGTAAAATAGTCTACACACAAACCTGTTAAAATTCTTTCAACTAATTTCACATGTTAAAAAAACTGAAAATTTGTTAATAAGATAAAATATTTTGTCAATGCATTCCAAATTAAATAATTTAGACCATCCTTTACTTACGAATATACTATCTGATTATCTGATTAAAAGAAAAGTTCAAATTTGGCGTTGCTTGGTCAACTGCATTAAGAGCAACTCTAATCGGATGCTATATCACTAAATAGTGTATTTTTGTTCTAATGGAACTGCCAATGTGATGGAATAATATTCGGTGTGACATTATTCATAAAACACTAAAAATAATATTTTATTTCTGTTTGTCATTTAATAATATAACTAAATTGTTGTTATCAACTAAAAATACATATGAAAGTTCAACAAAACATTAGGAACATAAAAGATTACAAAATTAGAACCAAACAAACATACAAACTAATTCCAAGAAGATTTTTGGAAAACTCATATTGAATTTCGAAATTCAGTAACCAAAAACTTCTCGTCTGAATTACAATGTAATTTTTTTTTAAAAATCATTTATTGTAATCTTATATTTAAGTTGTAATTAAAAAATTATAGAAATAATTAGTATTTAGCAAAATTATTATAAAAACAAAATTAATTAAATTTAATAAGATAATAATATAAAATATTCTTGTTGGTGTGAGATTTGGTGTCGTGGGTTGGATATGAGAAAAAATGAGACACTAATTAAAACACTAAATTTAAGTGTTATTTTAAACGCCAAATTTGGGATAGTGATTAGAGTTGTTCATAAATTTATCAGAACAAATATTTATCATATAAACCATATTAAATTATAGAGTATCCATTTATACATTACAGAAAACAGAGTGCATGAAGTGATGATATAATGCTATCTCACCTGCTCATTTCCTCACCTACTCTTCTGACTGCTTGAGCTTGACCATCGAGAAAACAAATAATTTGCTTTTTGTTTTGGGAAAGTCTATCTGAAGTAAGATCCTCTTTCGAACCATAAAATGATAAAAAAAAATCATGTATTATTAAAAAAGAAATGTTGACTACAAAGAAAATTAGACATAGATTGGGCTATTAGTTTACTCAATTGAGTAGGTCACAAGGGAATTTCTACTGTTTGTTAATACTGTGTTAACCCTGCATTTATTATGTTATCATTATTTATTATTGGCCTTTTCTTATGTCAAATAGTTTATTATTGGCCTTTGTTCATTTGCTTTTGCAGTTATTAACATTTAATCCCATACCTCACCTCTTTGAAAATCAGTAAAAGTATGATAATGAATGATAGATAAACCAACAATAAATTTTATGGTAGGCAAATCTTTCTTTGTTTTGGCAGGAGTACTCAATATCAACATTGTAATCCGTTTGGCAAAATGGTAACCTGCCTCGGCTGAGCATTTCAATTGATAGCCATTGTTTTCAATTTTTGACAAATACTCCACACTTTGGCGCACTAATCACTAAGAATGTATTCAACTTAATTATACAGTATACTGTTACTGCTTCTGCTCATAGCATGGTAATATTTTTTTACTTCAACTATCTGTAATTAAGACAGGAAAGGATCTTATTAATTAGATTTAGTTACTGTCATTTGCAGATATGTCTAAAAAGACGTATAGATAGACCTACAATTTCTAGACAGTAATAAATACTACTACTATTAAACAGTAGTAGCAGGTGTAATAGTCTTAGCATATCTCTGATAATGATTTTCAATGTACAATTGTTTATAACTTCATATTTTTTAATTAATAATTGCACACACGATAACTCCGTAGATATGAATAGCTGAAGGAGCGAATTCTTTTGATTTGAGTTTATCCAATTTCTTAAATACGATAATAAAAATGTTGGTAATAGTCAATAAGTTTTTAGTTTAATTTTATTTTTAGGTGTTTACAATTTTGGGTGTGTTTTAGTATTCTTTAGTTTTATGTTTTTCTTCACTTGAACTTTAAATAAATGAGTCAAGTACGGATAACGACTAAACATGTCAAATAGGGCAAAAATTTGAAGTTCCACTTAAATTAAAATTTTGTTTGTTTAGGAGCCAAAGTATTGGACGTAACAGAACAAAATTAACAATAGTGAAATTTACGTTTAGTCATGTCATTTTGGTGGACTTGTCAACAAAATTGGATTAACGGATACTCCAGTAAACACAACTTGTAAATGTATATAGTGTTGTTATTTGATGAGCAACTAGCCAAAATAAAGTTTTTTTTTAAAGAGAAGAAAACATAATTGTATAAGATAATTAAGAAAACTAAAAAAAACAGGCCGCATAAATATCTTCTCTGGTATATGTATATCCTGTAACTTTTCGATTCAATTATTGTTCAATCTTACATCATAAATCTCGTTGCATAAAAAATAATGATATTTTGGAATTTTATGTTATTTTGCTGAGCCTAAAAATTGAAGCAATGAAAAGTTATTAAATCGCACCACAAGAGTAAAAAATGGAAAATGGAAAAGAAAAGAAAGAAAAGAAAATCAAGATAAAAAAAAAGAGAGGTGAAAGGTGTAGAAGATGGTGGCGTGTAGTAACGAAGTCTCTGTCAATTTTTTTGATAAATTAATCATGTACTGTGCTGACACTCCAAGATTTGAAACAGCCTTATCGATATAATATCCATTTTTCTATTGAAAATAAAAATGAAACTCTTCACTTTCCAAATAACTAGTGTATATGTCTAATAATGTATCCCTTACGATATTACTATTGTTTCGATTAGTCATTGTATGCATGTACATTAAATTATTATGTATCCCAATTTCCACACACATAATGATAAAAAGAAAATTCAAGTTTGTAGACAAAATTTTAAAAATAAAAGATACAATCTGAATCCTCTCTTTTATTTTCATCACTGACAGAGAATACCACTGCACTTTTTCTCATGCACGCACGCATACTCAGATAGAAACAAGAGCCCATTCCTCGTTCCTTTAATAATTTAATTAAAAGAAATACGGACACTTCATGATTAATTTTATTTTTTATTCGTTTAATACAAAAATCTCGAGTTTATAAAAAAATATATCGATAAACTCAAAAATATGATGTAATAATCTGCTTTGGCTTTGCTCTCTTTACTACAAGACAAGGCAGAGAAAACCACAGATTCCTATGAAAGAGTAGACGTACCTGTCTTTTTATTATTATAAATTATAATTATCATCTCTACGACTTTTTGGTTTGTAATCTTTTAGAATTATTTACTTTCACTACCAAAAAAAAAGCTTCCCTCTATTTCGCCGTTTTTGGTTTACCAAATCCCAATGTATCAAAGAAAAAAAAAAGAAAAAAACAAAAAAAACAAAAAAAAATATCCATCCACATTATAACCACGTCCCTTACTCAAGAACCATCCATTATATTAACATATTTATCCTTTTCCTCAAAACATTTGAGTCTCCTTAGGGTTTTTTCTCTCTCAGACAAAAGCTTTAGATCTTTTCTCTTAATGAACATTCCATATTACCACTATGACCACGGCGGAGACAGCCAATATCTTCCACCGGGTTTCAGGTTTCATCCTACGGACGAAGAGCTCATCACTCATTACCTCCTCCGCAAGGTCCTCGACGGTTGCTTCTCAAGCCGTGCCATCGCAGAGGTTGATCTCAACAAGTGTGAGCCTTGGCAACTTCCCGGTAAGAGAAAACACAAATTAATACTTACTTACTTGTAGTTCTTTTTGTAATTAAGGTTCTTGAAATCTTTACTCTCAATGTTACTTAGGGAGAGCTAAGATGGGAGAGAAAGAATGGTACTTCTTTAGCCTCCGTGACCGGAAATATCCAACGGGGCTGAGAACAAACAGAGCAACTGAGGCTGGTTACTGGAAAGCTACAGGAAAAGACAGAGAGATCTTTAGTTCCAAGACTTGTGCACTTGTTGGGATGAAGAAGACTCTTGTCTTTTACAAAGGAAGAGCTCCTAAAGGAGAGAAGAGTAATTGGGTTATGCATGAATATCGTCTTGAAGGCAAATTCTCTTACCATTTCATCTCAAGAAGCTCCAAGGTACTTCGATTAAACCTTTTACTTATTAATTTTTCTTGATAAAGTAAACCCTTGAATTTCTTTGATTAATAAATTATAATCTTTAATTTAGAAGAAAAAATTCAAGAGTGTGACATAGTCGGTGACGTTGATTTTTTTCTGTTTTGCTTTTTGCATTTAATATTGATGGCTGAAAAGGCATGGTTATTTACTGTGGTTATCTGAGAACATCATGGAACATAAAATAGAAAAGATCTGCTGTTTTTATGTATTGGGATTTCAATCATAATGGTGTTTTCCTAAAGCAAGAAAATATTAAATAGTTCTGATAAAATAAATATTAATACATCCTAATTTTGGAAAGCTCAATGCAAATATTCAGGATTTTTCTGACCTAGATATATTAAATGAAATTTCATATAATTAAATTTACTTAATTAGTTTTCCATATCCATTGAAGTGTCCAATGTACATTCCCCTCTCTCCAAGCTTTTACTCCATGGATTTTTTTTTACTCTTCACTCTTTATCTCCAAGATCTAATATTGACTTTCTCATCAACATATATTATATAAAATATTGGTTTGACTTTTCCAAATTCTAATTTATTCCTTTAGGATGAATGGGTGATCTCTAGGGTTTTCCAGAAAACCAGTTTAGCCAGTACCGGAGCCGCCGGAGGAGCTAGTGTTAGCGTAAGCAGCGGCACTGGTGCATCTAAAAAGACGAAAGTACCCTCAACAATCTCAAGAAACAACCAAGAACAACCAAGCTCTCCTTCCTCCGTCTCACTCCCACCTCTCCTGGATCCCACCACCACCCTCGGCTACACCGACAGCAGTTGCTCCTACGACAGCCGTAGCACCAACACAACCGTCACAGCCAGCGCAATAACTGAGCACGTGTCCTGTTTCTCCACTGTCCCTACTACTACTACGGCCTTAGGCTTAGACGTTAACTCATTCAATCATCTTCCACCGCCGCCAGGGTTTGACTTTGACCCTCTTCCTCGCTTCATCTCCAGAAACGTCTCGAGTCTATCTAACTTCAGATCATTCCAAGAAAACTTCAATCAGTTTCCTTACTTTGGATCGTCTTCTACATCGACAATGACCTCCTCCGTTAATCTGCCTTCTTTCCAAGGCGGTGGTGGCGTCTCCGGGATCAATTACTGGCTACCGGCGACTGCGGAAGAAAATGAGTCAAAGGCCGGTGTGCTTCATGCTGGACTTGACTGTATTTGGAACTACTGATCACAAAAGAGGTGATTAATAATTGTGTTCCCGTTAGGGTTTTATTTATCTATTTCTAGGATGATTATGGTATTATGAAACCTGTATCGAGGAGCTTAATATTTCACTTTCCACTTAGCTTGATGTTCCGTTTAATTCTCTAGTTTTACGTGTAACAGGTCGTATTAATTAGGAGTATGCAAGGAAAATGTTTTCTGAACTATGTAACGTGCATATGTATAAGCTATATATATGCTCGTTTTTGTAATGTTTGACATTATTTTAATTTCATGGCTTTTACATGTTTGATATTTCTAACATGATATTTGACAGTGGATACGTTGTGTCCGTGGTTAGCACTTCAATCATATATTACCCGACAATATGAATTTAATCGGTCCTTCTAGATACGTTAGTTTTCCTCTTGTTAATAGAATTTGATATGGCGGCTATATATATGTTTCCGGAATTCAACGGCCATTCCAAATTTCCGGTTAGATGATTTCCGTAATTACCTAACGTATCTGGCTAATAATTTCTTCATCAATTGAAGATGCTCAAATTAATTACATGAAAGTTTCTAGTTTTAAAACTAAGTACGTATAATTCATTGGAAAAATCAGTCTATTAATCAAATCTCAAAATAAGTTTCAGTAATTAGCTGTATCTTCTTGCTACAATCGTATACATCTGACGAGTAAACACAACAATTTGCGTTTGGCTTAACTGATTAAGATAACATGCATGTTCTTTGGTAGTTACTGGCAATTATTTACATACTAATTTAACCATCAAAGAAAATAAGTAGTTTTGAAATTAAGGATTTTGAACGGGGATGATGAATATGATGCGCATGCTGACGAACGGACCACTCCCAAGTTCAGATCTTGTACAACAGTCCACCTCACTTTCAGAAGGATGGCTTTCAGATGTCTATTTTTAGAAAGAGACATAATTAATAATACCTCTGTTTATTACCATTATATATGCGTTTTCATTTCACGTGTGTATACTATATAGATGTATATGATATATGTAATGTATGTGTGTAACACAACCATCATCATCATCATTACCATCATCAATTATTGCTCTTGTTGCATCACCAACCTATACTACCTAGTCATAAGACAAATTCACAGACTCGCATATACGTCTCACTAAATGGCAAATTTTCATGATGTTTTAGCTAAAGGAATATATGTACACATATGTATGCTTATTATTTTGGGATTTCATGTGGTTACATTTGCAAACAAAAAAACTAATTAAGCCAATTTTGGTTGAAAAACACTGATCAACATAAATGTATGAAAAAAAATAATCAGCTATTTACACAAAAAGAACAGCTAAGTGATATGAACTAACTAATTTTATCTACATGTACTATGTATCTAAAAAAGCAGAAAATTCAGCCTGACTTAAAAAAAAAAACTAATTTAAACCAAAAATATTACTACTTTGATTCTCAGCTTCAATAACTACAACATTTAAATTTTACTTAGCTTTTCTAAAAAAATGTCTGATTGTTTGACCCAAAAAAAAGTCTGATTTTGTACGTCATTACGCCCACACCGATTACCCCCCAACAATTGAGTTATCATGTGAGAAAAGAAAAGAAAATTTATGCCAACTAAATCTAAACCAAAACTTCGCAAATAAATCAATTACATTTAAATGATGTGCCAAAGAAAATTTTCAATATCTAAGTCAATGACTTGGCGGAAACCACTAGATACTTAACTATCACCATTTAGAGCCTCGGTGTTGTGAAATAAACACACATACACACTTTCAAATGAATATATCAAATTAAACATTAGTACATTAGAGTGTCCTACTATTTGCACTGATTAAAGACGAATTTGCAATCGCATAGGTGCAATGTTATATATGGTATCTGCAAAATTGCAGAAATACTGCTTTAGCTACATAAAGAGGTAAAAATAAGGGTTGTTTTCTTTGTCGGACTAAAACTAATTTCAAGTATTTGTAATCTTCCCAGCAAGAATATTCTCTAAATTTCTATTTATATCAAGCAATTATTACAAGAACCCTAAGTATTCAAATACAAGTATATGGCAATATGCATGTTTCGCAGCAAATGACAAAATCTGAGAGTGAAAAAATATTAAAAAACATTATCAAACTCCGACGATGATGATGGTCGTGGTCCCAAAAATGTTGAACGCTCTAGATTATGCCAAGTGGCGCGATACACAACCGTTGATGAACTTGGCCGGCGAAGTAACGGCACGTGATACGAGCATGCATGCAATGTGGTTATACGTACTAATGAGTGGAGAGAGTAGGCTTGGTGCATGGAAATGGCAATCCACGCGTCGTACGGGATCGGAACTTGGTCTTGGACAATATATCATTCATGTATTTAAAGTGTCAGGGTAAAACATATGAAAAAACCAAGAAAATTTTAATTTGGAAAAGAGAAAGTAAATTGAAATTGGAAGGAAAATGGATAAAGCTAGGGCTTGAACGTTTTCAGGAAGAAATACAGCTGTGCGTGAGCATAGGGAGGGATATGGGTCGTGATGAATGGTTTGAAGTTGAACTCTGAATCTTATAATGTATGTACTTGTTTTTTTATATTGTACTTGAATGATTTGTTAAATAAAGTTTTTTTTCCTAATTATATTGTTTTATATATGTGATATTATGAATGTATAAAGTAAACAAGAACATTATGCGATAATATTCCATAATTAATAATATAGATTTATAGAAGATTTGATTAAAATTTAAAATTATGATTCTCTTATCATCTTTGATTGATTTTTTTTTATAATTTTTTAAAATCATAATATAATATATAAAGTTTAAAAAAAAATTCAAATTTTTTCTGCATATATATTGTGATTCAAATTTTTTAAAACGGATATATTTGAACATATAAAAAATTAAAATAACGCGGAACGTGTTATATTGCAGGACGAGATTATATGACATGACGGGTTTTAAATCATCATTAATAAAAAATTAAAATATCATTAATCCGCCGTTTTAATACGGATTAAATATTTATTTTGTTATTTTTAACACCACTAATATTATATATATCGAATCTGCATGGTTTAGTTAATTTTGTATAAAACAAAAATTATTCTGTTGTATACCTTTAATTAATGATAATTGTAAACTATAAAATATAAATATTTTCAAAATAATATAATTTATAACGTTTCTATATAATACATAATTATAAAATTTTAAAAATCATAAATTTTAGAAAAACAAATCATGCCGCCGTCATATCCCTAGTAAGGTTACACAACCCAACATGATTAAAATTTTAAAATTTAAAACAAGAAGGTGTTAAGTAGGAGATGATTCCTTCCTTATCAATAATTTATAGAAATATATCATTCTTATCAATTGTTTGTAAATATAAAATATTAGCTTCACTTCATTTCATTCTTTGAGACGAAGGAAGTAATAAAACTTTTTTCCAAATTTTGCAGATTTATCAAATGCAAATTTAAGCAAATTGTCGATTGCCGTTTATTTTATAGGGATAATGGAACATCATCTGATAATAATATTTTAAGAAAAAATCATCCGATAATAATATACAAGAAAAAAAACTCTTTCGTTGCTTTTGTTTAGATTTTCTCGGCGATAAAAGTTTTGAAATGGGCCCAATTAAGGCCCAACATGTCACTTATATGGCCTCTTATTAGGTCGGAAAGAAACAGAGAGAGGGAGAATGGGAAGGATAGATATTTCCAAGTTCTCATTTTTCTTCAATAAGATTGTGTCACATTCATACGATATCAAAAATGGAAAACAATTTGCTAAGAAAATTGACACAAAACTCCTGATTTCCAACCATAGGATAGGAGAGAATTATTCAATAATGGCATAAACCCAGAAATTCAAATTAAATTGGATAATCGAACCTATGTTCATAAAACATCAATGCAACTTTAGCTCTTGAACAAAAAGATTTGTACATGACACCACCCCTTCGTTTGAATTTGAACCTCCAACACTGGAGCACTTAATATGTCTCTTCTTACTTTGTTCTCTGAGAGGCATTTTCTCGAAAAGTTGGTATGCAACTTGATTGTGAGTGACATTTTTTTATTTCTGAAGCAACACATCCATTGCTTTGGTATATGAAGCTTGTAATATCGTTTCTTAATGATCAAACAAGTCATCACAGCCCATAACAACTGATTGAGAATCCTCACAAACAACCGGTGATGCAGTGTAGAATCGAAGGCTAGGTTCTAAGTTAGAAACAGGTACTTGAAATTTTGGAATCGATTCTTCCTCCAAGATCGTTTTCGGTATCAAATCTTTGTGATTATCCAACTTTGGGTTCTCCTCTCGAGCTGCATGTACCAAATTCACCGTACGATGCTCAGTTGATTTCACCAAACTCACTCACCATTAGAAACAGGTGGTGAGTTAAAGTTTCTGGCTCTTCGCAAAACACACATAACCTTCTTCGAACAAGATTCAACGGACCATTCAAAATCAAGACAACACTTAACCAAAAGTGGAATCTAAACGGAACTGTCGCAAAATCAAGAGCTTAATGACCAGACAAAACGGAAAAGATTAAAAATCACAAATAGTTTGTGTATTTTATACAATTTGATTAGAAGTTTCATTTAATTTACAAAATCAAGAGCTTAATGACCAGACTTAAACTGTATGTCTCTTCTTCATCTTGTTCACTCCTCCTTAGCCTTCGACTCAACCACTATGCTAATCAATTCTTCAGGACAAAGCGTTGGAAATGAAGACCCGTGAGAGTGAATCACCGTTGTATTCGAAAGTGTTGCTTCTTCTCCTCGGTCTTGCATGTTGGAGTGGATGCCAAGCACTCCAACAGCCAAACCGAATGCACATTGTTACAGCAATGTAATGCTCAGACCTAGCAAGGCCGTAAGTCAACCACATGAGAGCAGATAAAGTAACCAAAGCTGGCATTCTTAAATTACCCTTCTGTTGAGCTTCTCTCTGTAAAATAAATTTATTATCAGATAAGAAATTTAGAATAGGTAAGAATAATTGTTCCTAAACAGTTACACAAATTTGTGAGAAAGAGAGACTCACCATAACATTTATAGTTTTTAGATAGCAGTAGAGAGAGAAAAGCATAGAGGCAATTCCAAGAATTTGAATGCATCTGCTGCCGTGACACAAACACCGCGCCAATAACAATATTACCACAAACACCGATATCTTATGAAACATGTATTTCAGCGTTGTTGCATTCTGAGAACATATTACGAATGTAAGACTAATAAAGTAATAGAACATATTATGAAATGTCAGAGTAATAAAGCAATATAGGAGCACTGACCCAGTGCCGGTCCGATCAATTTGGGTGTCCTAAGCAAAATTAAAGCCTATAAATTTTATTTTTTTTAAATTAGAATTTTACCCTTAAAAAAATGTTGTAGTTGTCTCTAAAAACTCACAATATTTTTAAAAGGCCTTACAAAAATTATTGTATATAAGAAAACTTAACAAATTTTTAGGTAAAAAGGCCCTCAAAATTTTGAGACCCTAATCGGTGGCTTCACTGGCTTGCCCTCTCCGCCGGGCCTGCACTGACCTGCGCCTTGTTAGGAGCAAGATAGAGGGACAAACAGACAAAGATTGTCTGAATTGAAAAGGAGAAAACGTTGCCAAACAGAACAATCGGTTGATTAGTGTAAAAGGCATAAGCCGCCCATAGACCAGAGCTGAAAATGGCATCAACATAATGGCCCGTCTCAGAACCCTCGCATGATCTCAAAGAAAAGAACATTCGCCTAAACCAAAAGAAAAAGCAGTAAGAAGATAATACTCCAAATAAGAAGATAATGTAAAGAGGAAAGTAGTTTGAACTTACAAAGGTACAAGGCTAGCAAAGACGGATATGAGCGTCCCTAGAGATTATATCCATCATTAGTTTAGAAATTTCCAATCACATTTTGAAAAGCTACAAAAGAATCAACACATACCTAGGATCCCAGCCACAGTCGCCAACAAGCCCACTGAAAATTCCATCTCTCTTCACAGCTCTAATCTATTCAGAGTAAACCTCTTGGATCAAATACAGGTAATGTAAAAAAACAAGATAGTTTTCTTGTATTCAAAGCTTCAGATTTATATATAGGGTCATTTTTTTAGTTTAGTGGAATACATAATTTTACAGGAATACGTATTTTTAGTGGAACACGTATTAAGACAACATTTTTGCTCTACTTTTTAGCTGTTTTACTATGAACAAAGACTTTCTACAACTTATCTACGTAGACAAATACTCGCTAACTTATCTTTCACGTTTATTACCTTGTGGAAGTTATCCCAACCATTGAACTCTATACTTCTCTTCATCTTGGTGGTGGATTGCCTATGTGAATCCACATCAATCCTAAATAAGCCCATAAAAACAGAGAAAATAAAAATACTTTATACTTGTTTTACTACTACACGACTTTATATTACTTCTATAGGTAGATAACTATCATCTTACTTATACTTTTCACGTTTATTACCTTCTGATCGGATCCACTTTGGATTAGGGGACGAGGCGGTGGAAGCTGATTCGCACGTTGAGCTTGCGTGAGCTTGTAAACTCGCCGATGATGAGTGCATCGTGTGGAATCAAACAAGTTATTTTTTTTGGGCGAAAGAAATTGAAGAATGGGAAAAGGAAGAAGCTCTAACCCTAATTTTTTTATCCCAATTCGATTTTGTGCGATTCATATATATTGGGCTAAGTCAAATAAGCCCAAGTCCAGTTTATTGTTAAATTTTTTCCATATATCATATACGTATTGGGCCCAAATCAAACATTATTCCCAAGTCCTGTATATCTACATATATACATACTACTAGTATTCTTAAAATTAAATTGATGAACACATTTGTTTTTGGTGCAAGTAGATTGTTATTTAAAATGAAGGTGGACAGTGGGAACACGTTTAATTTTTGGGGTTTTTGTTTTCGTAAAATTTGTTTACCACGTGTCCACATATGATTACACGAGTGACATGTTTTAATAAAGGGATCTTCACAGTTCTTAAGTTGATAGCTACGTGGATTGGGCTGGCGTTATTGCTTTTATTCTTGTTTATTTTTTCTTTTCTTTGCTTGTATTCTTTCCACCTTAAATTTAGAAAATGAAAGAAAAAGAAATAAGTAAGATAATTGTTTCTCAATTGGCTGGAAGATATCTAACTTTTGACAATATCCTTTTTTCACATATTTTTAGTGTTTAAAGCTTTTATTTTACTCGGGCATAATGTCACAAAAGGAAAACCACATAAAATATATGAAAAATGCAAAACCACATAAAATATATGGGCTTCCAATGAATCTGAAGTGAAATATAATAACAAACCAATTACAAGTCCAATTACAATTACAAAACCAAACCTATTACATGCATAACTATGGATTTAAGCCCAAACCCATTAACAATTAGGGTTTTCATGGCGGCGAGGCTGCGACGGAGACGACAATGGCAACGACGACCGTTCGATCTCGTCGTCTGATGAGGCGTCAAAACTGGAAAATTTCAGTTCTAAATTTCATGCTTCTAAATTGTTATAGCCAGAATAAAAAAGGTCTCTCTGTTCTCTATAAGGATTACAAAGTTATTTTATTGTAGATTTTTATCTGGGTATCATACTATATGAAGAATCTTGAGTAACAAGAAAATGAGCTGTTAGTTAACAAAGTTCAATAACATTACTTGTAAAACATAGTCATTAACCGAGACGTTAAGATATTTTGTATAGATCTTTAGTTGTAGTATATAAGCAATTGTACAGCCTAACATTCAGATTAATGAGAAAGTATTTCTTTCGAGTAAACTCTAATATGGTATCAGAGCCATGTTTGCTGAAGGTATTAATACTTGTCAGAGGAAATATGCACTTGACTTGCTTGATTCAGCTGGTTTACTTGGTTGCAAACCCTCTTCTATACCCATGGAACCTAATCAGAAACTTTCTGAAGCTGATGGTGAATTGTTAGACAATCCAGAAGGATACATAAGTCTTATTGAGAAACTGATCTACTTGACGATTACGAGACCAAACATTTGCTTTGCTGTTCATAAATTAGCACAATACACCAATGCTCCTCGTGAAGATCACTACAAAGCAGTTGTCAAACTACAACATTACATCAAAAGTACCGTTGGTCAAGGTCTATACAGTTCTGATCCTGATATGGAATTACAAGTCTTTGCTGATGCAGATCTTAGTGGATGCCCTGGTTCAAGAAGGTTTGTTCTGGATATTGTGTGTTTCTTGGTAAAAGCCTCATCTCATGGAAATCAAGTAAACAAGGCATTGTATCTCGCTCTTCTGCAGAGTCTGACTGAGTACAGAGCTATGGCTTTAGCTGTTTGTGAGATTGTTTGGGTAAGAAGCTTGCTGGAGGATCTACACATTACTCCAAAGACACCTACAATTCTATATTGTGATAATCAGGCAGCCATTCATATTGGAAACAATCCGGTTTTCCATAAAAGAACAAAGCATATTGAAAGAGATATGCATACAGTAAGAGACAGAGTTACAAAAGGTACTATCAAGCTTCTTCATGTGAGATCTGAATGCCAGTTTGCAGATATACTAACTAAAGCGCTGTATCTTGGTCAATTCAGAGCTAATTGAGTAAGCTGGACAAATCAAACATTTTCGTGCCAGCTTAAGGGGGGCTATCACACTATATGAAGAACCTTGAGTAACAAGAAAACGAGTTGTTAGTTAACAGAGTTCAATAACACTGTTAGTTGTAAAACAGAGTCATTAACAGAGACGTTAAGATATTTTGTATAGATCTTTAGCTGTAGTATATAAGCAATTGTACAGCCTAACATTCAGATTAATGAGAAAGTATTTCTTTCGAGTAAACTTTAATACTGGAAATAGCCTAATCGATACATTTCGTTTGCATAGTTGTTAATTTGTTGATATGTATTGGACAGAGTGTAGAACTTTTGGAGATATGTAGTGCATTCTAGGGTTCTATTGTCATCTCTGAGATTCAGCTTCATATGAAATTTGTTTTGACCAATTTGGAGGAAGAGGAATCACACAGTACGATGTTCGTTTTAGGAATTAGGGTTTCTGGTTGTGTTGCCATTTTAAGCTACTGTTGAGATTTGGTTCTAGATCACTGGTACATGCTTGAGTTTCATAGCTCCCTATTCGTTAATGCTGCATTTGCTTTAGAATTAGCTTCGTTTTTTTTCTTTTTCTTTTTTCGTGAATCTAGAGATGACAAATTGCGAACATGAGAAAAACTTCAAACATTTGGTAATGTGAGTAATGGTTGAGTTAAGGCACAATGGTCATTATTATGAATATCGATATGGCTTCATGGACTAAAATATATATTTTATTATTTTATTGATATTTTAATAATTATTATTTTATTGATATATTTGCCTAATTTCTTAGTTTTTTAATTTGTTTTAAAAATTTATGAAAATTTATAATTTTTGTGTTATAATCCATATTTTTCATAAAGTTTTAAAACAAATTAAAAAACTAAGAAATTAGGCAAATATCATTTATGGGCAATTTACACAAATAGCACTAAAAAGGTTTATTATTCCAAAAATGGCACTTTCTTTTGAAACTTCCAAAAATAGCACACAAAGTTTTTAATCCTCTAAAAATTAATTAAAATAGAATTTCATTTCTTCCAAACCCGACGGCTTTGCTTCCAACAAACCCGACGACTTCCAAAAACTTGTCGCTTTCGACGACTCCGTCGCTCACCGGATCTGATTTCTTTACCGGAGATTCGAAGACTTTGCCGGAGATCCGCAGTATTCGTCAGATTCATTAGGCGTTATCTCCTCCGACGCCGATTGTGCATGAAAATTGGATTCATTAGGCGTTTGTTGATCACTTCCCTTTTAGCAGGTTCCACAAAGCTTCTTCTCTCTTTGGGGATTTAATGTTCATTGTTGTATCAGTTACTAGAAGTTCGATTCTAGGTTTTATTGCTCCATTAATTCACCAGTTTTGTGTTGTCTTATGAAGACTAGAGACTTTGATTTTTGGCTTGGATTGTTCTGTAGCTTAGTTGTTGGAGACCATTGCATAGTAATTGAACATTTAAGAAATGTAGAGTTTAACTTTATGGTTTTTATAGCTCAATCAATTAGGTTGGATTGACTATTCTATTTGGGTTATTGCATTGAACATGGAAGAAATGCTGCATATGTTGTCTCAGAAGATGTTTCATGTGCAACAACTAAGCTACAGAACTAGATTTTAAGAGCTTGTTTAAGTGAATTTTGATCTATTGGATCCTTTGTTGTGGTATATACGCTCAGAGATGCTGTGGATCATTTAAGAATCTTTGTTTCAGATTCTTATCAATAGCCTAGATTGTGTCTGAAGAATAACAATGATTATGTCCTTGCATGGTTTTTACAGAAAGTCTTTACTGATTTCTGTTATAGTTTAATACACTTGTATTAAAATATCCTGAACTTTTGTTGATTGATGAAAATAAGAAATGATTGAGTACTAAATTTTGCCTTGACATTAATAATGTTTGTTACCTATGTCATGTTCTTGATTCCAAGAATAGTAAATGTCCTTCGACATTAGATCCTTTCTGTTTACCACATTAGTAGCTTCACTTGATGCTTTCGATTCGATCTTTCTTATCATGTAGTCATGTCAATGGATACATCATTGTCATTTGCATTACGATTTGCGACATGGGGCTTTGCTACACGTGAATGGATCTAGAATCCTTTGCTACACGTGTTTTGATCTAGAATCCTTGTATTGTTGTGAAAAGATTGATACGCATTTACTGAAATTTTTCTTCATCCGTTTGTGACTGTTTGCTTTAGTGTTTTGTATTTGGGAAAGTCTTCCTGAAAATATTGACTAATTTCCTTAATTTTTTTTTTTTTTGGGAAGGAAAATGGGTTATTCATTCCCTATCGAAGTTGAACTGCCCAAGCTCCTATACAAAATAGGACACGAGCCGAACCAAACTGATGTCAAGATAAACCAACATGCTAACTACGAATATGTCAAGCATGTCAAAAACATTCTCTCTGCTACAAAATACAAGAGGATCCAAGACTCATATCTGGGACCAGTTTTGAAGACAATAACAAGAAAGTTGACTCTGTCTTAATTGCTACATTGTGTATTCAGCAGGAGCTTGACTACACTGAAGGAAAAGGAGCTTTGTTTTCATTTCGGTCAAGAAGAACGTGGCATCATACATGATGAAGACAAAGTATGATATTCATGGATTTCCTCTAGCACTACACATTTGGATTCTTGAGTCTATTCCAATGCTACAAACAGCCTACAGCTGCATCAGTTTAATAGAGAGGCCGACTGCATTCTTGTGTGAGAAATACACGAGCTTACCATCACCACAACTTTCTCAAATACAGAATATTGAAGCATCTAATCATGTAAATTCAGTCTCTTCTTTTTATGGTTTAAACTAGTTTTGGGAAAGATTTATAGTAACTCGGGATGGCCTTCCTAATTTAGGAAGGATTAATAGTAATTCGGGATGACCTTCCTGATTTGGGAAGGATTTATAGTAATTCGGGATGGCCTTCCTAAAATATGTAATTGAATGTATTAAGTCTGCTGAATGCGTTTGTTTTTGTGCAGCTGAATGTATTTTGCATCTTACCTTCAATACCTGATGATCCTGAAGATAAAGTTTCATTGGAAGACGAAGATGATCCAGAATTAAGTCTGCTGGTCGAGCTTCTAGGTAAAGGTTACAAAATGAAATCTGACGATTGGATAAAAAGAACACTTGATGTAGGAGCCGTGATAGAAGAAGTTGCAATGATTCAATGCCACTCGATGAGGATTGAAGATTTCTCCAAACTATGTGATCAAGATTCATAAGACATCAGAAACAAGTTGGCTATCGATATCTTCAACGAGTGTGTTAACATTTCTTCGGACTATGTTTCTTTAATTATATGTATGCTGCTTGTGAAACCGTTTTAGACTGTTTTGGTACTTGTATGATGGTTCTAAGCTAGAAAAGTATCATATGTTTCTATTAGACAATGTAATGGCTTTTTGAGATCATCTGTGAAAAATTCAAGAAGGATTGTCGAATAATTCAGGAAAAAACCTATCAAATGCAGGAAGGCCTTCATAAAATATAGAAAAAACCACAAAAAATAAATAAATTATACAACTACTTGAACCCAAGACCTATTGTTATTGTAACAAAACATGTAACCAGTAAACAAAGCTTCTAATTCATGAATATTTTACAAATGAGCATCTTGAATATGTTTTAGGAAAGTCATCCTAAATATGTGTGTGCCCTTCCTAAAACATATACAAATGAGCATCCTGCTCTATTCCATGTACAACACAGATATAAGAAGTTCCGACTGATGGATGAAGTACCTACAAGCAAAAAACATAGACAGGAAAATAGACAGAGAGTTAAAATTGAAAACACATGACTAGAAAGCATCATATCTGTATATTGCATTATTTAGGGAGGCCATCCTAAAAATACACGTATCCTTCCTAAAACCTATGAAAATGAGTTTTGACCTTCTACTTTCCATGTGTAGCCAACAAGATTTCTAATGCAAAATCAAACTAAAAAAAATCCAAAGAGACAACAAGATTAGCTGCAAAAGACAACAACATTCCTGTAATGTCTGTACAATCCATGGATGGAATACAAATGATTATAATATCCCAATTGGGCAAAACTTGGTGCTTCTAATAAGCTCTATAGACTCTGTAAAATAAAATAGTTGTAGCCTGTTATTAGACAAAGGAAATCATGGATTGTATTGTTAGCTGTGATTGAGGAACAAATTAAATAACACTCATAGTAAACTAGAAACTCGAGAGCAACAATCAAATCCAAGAGCTATTAATCAAGAACTAATCACTAAAAGAGTTCAAATCGAGAGCTAATCAAATGGAGGAGCTAATCAAATCCAGAACTATATCCACATCCAATCAAAGCGAGAGCTACACTCACAAGCTAATCAAATCTAGAGCAAAATCACAACGTTGATCAATTTTAGGAGCTACAAACCCAGAAATACATCCACATCGAACCAAATCCAGATCTACAATCACAAACCTCTAATCAAATGCAGGAGTTACAAATCGACATCAAACCATATCCAGAGCTACAATCATAAACGTCTAATTAAATGCAATGGAGGAGTTACAAATCCAGAGCTACAATCACATACCCATGATTTCGCCGTGAATCCAAGAAATTAACTCTCTGATTGAAGCTCTAAGATCGGAAGCTTCAACGGAATTGAAGATCGGAGATTGGAAGCTTTACCGGAATTGAAGATTGGAGATTGAAAGCTTTAGAGAAAACAACAATCGTAAGCTTCTCCGTCGAATGTGTTTAATGTTTATTTTCTATTTTAATTTATTAATTAAAAAGGGATTTAAAAATGCTATTTGTGGAACTTTAGATATTGAGTGCTAAATGTGTCCATAAAACATGTTTAAATGCTATCCGTAGGAATTTCTCTCTATAAATTAATAATTATTAATATATCAATAAAATAATAAAATATTTTAGTCCGACATTATTAATTTAGAAAGATTTTAATATATATATATATATATATATATATATATATATATATAATTAGGGTTTCGGCCGGGACCACCATGATAAAAAAAAGTTCCCCATACAAGATGATTGCCAAGTTCGACAGTGTAACAATTCTTGTGCGTCGCCACAGGATATGCTCCCACAGGTTGTTGTGGAATTTCACGTTCATTAATTACCTCAACATTTCTAAAATAACTAGCCTTTTGATACCCTTCTTTAGCGAAACGACCACTCCCCATTTGCGTCCATGAGTGCCTTGAACCATCTTTAAAATCTAATATTTCGCCTCCCCAATGAACTTCAGTTGCACCATTTTGAAATTTATTGAACAATGAGGCAGGCCAATACCCGACAAGTGTATGAGTACTAAATTTTAACCACCAATGCCCAGAACGGGGATCCTACAATAGTACATCACATTCATTCTCAATTTTTAAGATCCCACAAGAGAGTACTCTTTGAAATTAATTATATGATGAAAATAGTCTAAATTATATTGACCTTCCATATAGTTGTGGGAATATGATATTGTTGACCGTCCAAGGTAGAAACCTCCCTAACAGGCGCACCTATAGCAAATTTTTGGTTGATGAGAACAAAGCCTGGACAAGCAAGATTGTAGCATCCTGTTGTCTGGTACCCATCACTCTGATTTCATATTACCAAAAAACACCCACAAAAAAAATGTTGAATTAAGTTCACATTTTGAAAAAAAAAAATCAAAAGAATGTCATATAGTTAACTTACCGTCCAATAAATAAAGTAGTGAGGTTTAGTATCATTATAACGATTCGGATACACCTAATTATTAGTTATATTGGGAGAACAAAGAAAAAAAAGATTAAGAGAAAAAAATATTTATTTAAAAGGATTTAGATGGAAAACAAATTAAAACCTGCCAACCAGCTTCAATGGTGTTAAATTGAGAATCATGAATACCACCCATAACCCACATTTGTGCTAAGCTAAACTCTCTTGTTGTTTGCACAAAAGGTTTCCACACATTTATAAGCGCTCTTCCACCGTAAAACTTTCCCTTCACTTTAATTATGGCATACTATACATGTAAATACACAATAAAAAAAATCTCAAAAAACTATACATATATATAGATATAACGCATATATGAGTAAGAAAATAGGACCGTTAATTTTCAAATGATTATTTTAAAATATATAACCTCATGATATTCAGTTGCATTTTCTTGTTTAAGGTTATGAATGTTGTTAAAATATTTTTTTCCATATCTTTCGATCGATTCTGCTCGTAAAATATCTTCTCTTCTAGTTCTTATTATTGGAATACTATTTTTTGGACATTTTCCGTTGATTGTCCAGAGTTGAGTCACCGTACTCGGTTGTTCCTTAGAGTTTGAAGATAAATTACTCCATTCTTCTGGGTAAGAACTTGGTCTCATCTACAACACAACAATATTTGAAGAAAAATAGTATATCAAACATATGATATGATAACCCCAAACTCAATTAGTTCAACTATTGAGAATGGAGTTGTATTGTGCCGAGTTTTAAATCATGTGCTACTTTAGGGAAAAATTATCTACAACTTGTAAATCTATCACAAGTATTACCAAATAATATTTTTGGATATAAGGAAAACGAATTAAAAAAGGCTAAATGAACCTGAATAGTGTGGTTTTTAAATAAAGGATGATCATAAATTGGATGATTTTTCATATGAACACAATCTATTATATCTCCGTCTGGACTTTACACCAAAAATTAAAATTAGGAGTTAAAAGTAAGCGAGAGGTAAATAAAAGTGTAACTAAACATAATTCTTGTGTCAATCCATAAACTTAATTGACCTTCATGGATTTAAGAGCAGGTTTATTGAGTTTTTTTAAGAGTCGGTCTATATCATCATCACGAGTAGCAGAAAAGTCACTTCTAGCGACTATCATCACTCTGATTAGAATGTTGAGCACGATTAATCTTGTCTTCATTCGACACATTGTGATTAACAATATCCAATTTATTCAATTTTTTTGCTTTTCGTTTGTTGGGTTAGATGAACAAGTTAATTGCTTTATATATATACCCAAGAAAAGTCACGGACAAAACGAATGAACAAAAATATACATTAACATTTTGATACTTTAATTTTATTGAAAAAGAAATTTAAATAGCCCTTGATCTAAAGTAAAATGATATTGTACAGTTTATATTATGCCTTGAAATAGAGTTGTTCATTTAATTTTAGAGATTTACCCGTATGTGGAAAAAGAAAAAAATGGTAAAGGTATATATATGTAATGATATTTGGATTTTGAAAAGTAACAAATGTAAGATAAAAAAAAAAGGAGAAGATTTGCTAAACCAACACATAAAAATTATTAAAAATAGCCAAAATAACCTACTAAGATTAGATTTTCATAAAACATCTTCCTTTTCCCCTTAAACATATTATTTCTTAACTTTATTTATCATCAAAATATTAAGGTTATAGTGATTGTTAGAAGAAAACAATATCTACTTAATTATAACATATTATATAAAAAAGATTGTATAAAAATGAATTCAATTCTCTTTAATCATTTACTTACCGAATCAAAAATCTGCGTTTACCAATAGCCACGATTCCGATAGCCCGTTTAATCACCCATGACCCGAGATCTATAACAACGTCGTTTTAGCATTTGTATAACTTTTCACAACTCTAGCTAAAATAACGTCTTTTTTTCTTTTTTCCTCTTTTATATTCGAGACAAAATCGATTATGATCATGAGTTCAACTTCCATCTTCTCATTCATCTTTTTAATCATCTCTTCCTCCATCATCTTAAATATTTCGTTCTTAGCTCCATATTAGTCATCACATACTTCCTCAAATCACTGACATTCTCTGCAACTCTCTTACGCTTCCCATCAACCATCTTAATTTCGTCTAAGATAGCTTCATCAGCCCATTTGAATAAGTGATCTTCATTTTCCCTCTACAAAACATAATTTCCAATCAAATACTTTTTCCAATCAACACCTAAATCAAATAAAATAATGAACTTTTATTGCAATTGTGCATCGGTAGAATATTCGGTATATATGGATTGTCTTTCATCTTCGATGTGAATACGGTAAGATTTATTATAACCGGTAAAATTAAATATTTATTAAGCTTCATGTTCATTCATATTTAGATTTATTTTGATCTTATTTATAATATGATTCTAAATCTTTGTTTAAATATTTTAGCTGATGGGGATGTTGAACACATATCTATACTAGTATTTTTGAAGTACATTTTTAGCGGGTGGGGCAAGATGCATTTGGATACAATGGGTATCCGACCCGTTTACAAATTTTGGAAAGAAAAAGTTGTTGGATCGGGTTATATTTAACACAACTCATACACCGGATATTCCATATTTAATAATTTATATATTTAAAAGATTTGATTAAGATTTAGAATTATGATTCTCATATCATCTTTGTTTGATTTGTTTTTAACTGTTTTGAATCATCATATAAAACATAAAGTATTTTTTTTTTTTTTTTGCACATACTGTGTGAATTTTACAAATGGACATATATTATCCAATTGATGAAAAATATGTGTTTAACGTTCCAACATAGACTAAAATATTTAGACAATGATTCAAAATCATATCATAAATAAGATCAACATTAATAAAATAAATGGTTTTTTTTTTGTGGGACATGTTTTTGAATCAACAATAAAAATAAAAAAATATCATTAATATGCTGCTTCAATACGGATTAAATTCTTATTTTTTTCTAATACCACAAATATTAGATATATCAAATCAGTTTCATTTAGAAAAGATTGTATAAAACTAAAAATTGTCCCGTGGTATAATGTTACTTAATAAAAATTGTCAAATATAAATATAAATATCTTAGAGAATAATACAAAATGCAAACTTTTATATATAATAAATAATCGTTAAATTTTTAAAATTACTACTTTTAGAAAACAAATCACGGAACGGGTTAATAAATTACAGTATGTGTTATATTTTAGAATGAGGTTATATGGTGGACGAGTTTGAATCAATATTTATAAAATTTTAAAATATCATTAACATGCCGATTTAATACAGATTAAATCCTCAGTTTATTAAAATATAAATGTCTTAGAGAATGATACAATTTGTAAACTTTTATATGTAATAAATAATCATTAAATTTTAAAATTACTACTTTTAGAAAACAAATTACGGGACGAATTATGAAATCACGGGACGGATTATATTTCAAAATGGGTTTATTTGGCGGACGGGTTATTTATAAAATTTTAAAATATCATTAACATGCCCCTTTAATACGAATTAAATCTTCAGTTTATTAATAATTATCCCGTAGACTCGTGGTATACCATTATTTAATACCAATTGTAAACTATAAAATATAAATATTTTATAAAGAGATACAATTTGCAAAATTTTATATATACTAACTTTAAAAAATAAATAAATATTCTAATTATTTTTGTTAATTGAATAATATATGTTTGTTTTCAAAATTTCGAATCACAATATATGCAGAAAAAAATTAAGATTTTTTTTAACTTTATATATTATATGATAATTTTAAAAAGTTATAAAAAAAAGTCAAGCAAGAGAAACATAATTTTAAATCTTAACCAAAATTTTTAAATATCTATATTATTAATTATAAAATATTACATGGATATTTAAGGCATTATTCGATTAAAAGATTTCCGGATTCTAGATATCAATAATACACCACTGACATTCAATTATAATTAATGCAAAAGCCAAAAATGTTTTTTTAAAATATCTCCGAAAGTGTATACATACAAAAAAATCATTAGTTGGTTTTGTTGACTTTTCTTGGCGACCAAAGTTTTGAAATGGGCCCAATTAAGGCCCAACCTATCACTTATACGGCCTCTTATTAGTTGGTAAAGAAAGAAGCAGAGAGAAGAGAGAGATAGAGCAGTGAAGAAGAAATGGGAAGGATATTCACGGTGGAGCTTGAAGGAAGATCTTACAGATGCAGGTTCTGCAGAACCCATCTTGCTCTTCCCGATGATCTTGTCTCTCGGGTACCTTAAATTTTCATCCTTTAACTTACATATATTTCCAAGTTCTCATCTTTCTTCAAAATTCTAAATCATTCAACAGATTTGTTAGTTCGATACTTCGATTCATATGGGTTTAGGGCATAAAGATTGGAGAATTAAAGTACTTGGATAAAGGGTTTGAGAGAAACTTATATTCTAAGCTGGATTTATTATACTTAAACTCTTGTGTTATTTAGATGAACGTTTATCATTTGAGAAATTGAGGCAATTTTAGCTTATGGTATAGTATTTGTTTAGCTTTGGTTCGTCTGACATTAGTTCTGTTTGAAATCTGACTTCCGCAGTCGTTCCATTGCCGCAGAGGGAAGGCTTACCTTTTCAATCGTTCGTAAGTATAAACTTCCTTGATGTATATATGTACTTGTTCTGTTTCTTGAATTTCATTCAGTAGAAACTTTCCCTTGTCTATTTAACAATGTAGACTCTTCTAGTATTCTGTTGCTATCGGTATATGTATAGACAAGGCTTAAAGAATCGCTGCTACTATTTGCCAAATGTATACACATTGCAATGGGGTTGGATATATGTAGAGCTGATTGGAATGTGAAATTTGATTATAGGGTGAACATAAGTATGGGTCCACTAGAGGAAAGATTGATGCTTTCGGGTATGCACACGGTAGCTGATATTTTCTGCTGCTCTTGTGGACAGAATGTTGGCTGGAAATACGTAAATCTCACCTAACCCGCACTCTCTATATGGTGTCGCTTCCACGATTCTTTAGAGCAGTTTCTGATTTCACTTTGTTGCTTTCTTGTTTGTAGGAATCAGCGCACGAGAAAGCTCAGAAGTATAAAGAAGGCAAATTTGTTCTGGAAAGGTAACATCTTTCTCTTCTAAAGTTCTCTGGTCTATGGTTTTAGCCATAATCTCTGGTTTATTGCAATCATTTTTTTACAGAGGAAGGATCGTGGATGAAATCGATTTATCAACTGAGGTTTATATCGATACTCATGGTAGCACAAGCGACACAGAAGATTCTTAAATGTTACCTTTTTTTGTGGAATAATGTTTGTCAAGAGCAGAGCTTGTTAGTGTAGAAATCAGTAGCCTGTTTATAGATGTGTATGAAACTTGTTGTGTTGTTTTAATATCTCGTAGAAATTAATGTGAACTTGAATCTTTATTAAAATCCAATAAAAAGAACTCATTAAACGAATGACTCATGATTATGATTTTGAAAAAAAAAAAAGAAGAAGTTAAGATCGGATAACACATGATTCGTGTTTAGGTTCACTAAACAATAAATCTTCTAAAGGAGTCCATATTTTTCACGTGTATACGGAGACTAAAAGATTAGTAGAGTATGCGTTTTCATTATTTATAGGTTTTTTTTCTTTGAATCTAGACCGGATTTTGTTAGTTCGATTTTGTTGGAGGATGTTGGTGGAAATGCGCGTTCACGACATGTCCGATTGTATAGTCTTTATTTTATTTTATTTTGAAGAAATTGTAGGAGACTATTCTTAAAGAGACAAAATAAACCTCCTAAAAGTCTTTGACATTTTTTATAATTGTGTTTTTTTCCCAATTTTCTTAAAAGTTTTTCAGTAACAACATCCTTAGGAGAAAAAAGGAAAAATTCTCTTTAGTTTGGTACTAATTAGGAAATTCTTTAAAATGTTAGGGTTTGTCATCCAATTCCAAATTTCCAACCAAATCAAAATTTCCATTTTTCTCCCCAATTGATAAAATTTATAAATTCAATAGCCATTACATGTGTGTAAGAGAGAGCCCATTAGTTAAAGAAGACAAAACGATTTGTGTTCTCTCAAACCTTAACGATTCCTGAATTCTCTCTTTTGTTTGCAGTAACAGAGATTAGGAGAAGCGAAAGCAGTACCATCGAGAGTACGTTACAATGGGCAAATCTTCATCGTCCTCAAAGATAATCAAACATTCCAAAGATTCGTCTAATAAGGTACTCTCTCTGTTTCTCATGGCTTCGAAAAGCTGAGATTTTTCTTGTGATTGAATCGATTATGACTTACCCATTATCTTATGATGTATGTCAATTAGATCGATGAGATTAAAAATCGAAACTTTTGATTTGATTTGTGTTAAAGTATTGATCTTTAATTTGGGATTTGTCATGAATTACAATGTGCAGTGGCGATCGGTGAAGAAGAAGAAGAAGAGTAAGAGAAACAAATCAAAGAAGATTCGTCGGATTAAAGAGAGTGAATCTAGTGGTTCTGATTCTTCTTTGTATTCTAGTTCAGAAGATGATTACAGGAGAAAGAAGAAGCGTAGATCCAAATTGAGCAAGAAGAGGTCACGTAAGAGGTATTCTAGTAGTGAGAGTGATGATGACGATGATGATGATGATTCTCGTCTTTTAAAGAAGAAGAAAAGATCGAAGAGGAAAGACGAATATGTAGGGAAGAAGAAGAAGAAAGTTGTCTCAAGAAAGAGACGTAAGAGAGATTTGAGTTCAAGCTCGACTAGTAGTGAGCAGAGCGATAATGACGGTAGTGAGAGTGATGGGAAGAGAAGGTCTAGGGATAGAGGAAGAAGACTTGGTGAGGTTAAGGATGCGCGGAGTAGAAGTAGAGATGGGTTGGAAGGAGAGAGTGAAGAACCTGATGAGTGCTGGCAAGTGGAAGGTGAAGTTATACCCGAGAAGAATCCTAGAAGGCTTAAATCGATTGTTGTTGTATCATATAGTTATGGGAATGATGAGAGAAAGGAAGAAGATGACCGAGATGTCTATATGACACGCGGTGGCAACAGAGAGTTAGGAGATAGTGAGGAATCTGATGAGAGAGATGGTGAAACTACTGTCTCTTATTCTAGAACTCGTGCTGATTACAACGGACTTAAAACTGTTGGTTATGATGAGTTTGGTGAAAGTAATAGCATGAAAGATGATAACCTGGAAGCCATTCTAAAGAAAAGAGCACTGGAGAATCTAAAAAGATTTCGTGGAGTGACCCAAAAGAGTGGAATAGCTAAAAAAGAGGTGTCTTCTGTTTCAGAAGGAGAACCTATGCAAATTGAATCTGAAAAAGTTGAGGAGTCACAAGACCATGGTCTCATGGAGCAGAAGGTTTGTGATTCTGAGGTCAGCAAAGATCTCGAGACTTTAGAAAAGATTTTACATGTTGTTAATGTTAAGGAATCTGGAACAGCATTGGCTAATTCTGCCTCTCAACAAGATCAGCAATCTGGTGATACTGCCAAGGTTAAAGCTAGTTCTGGTATTAGCTCTTGTTCAACCAAACGAAAGTTGGTTAGACCGGTATTGGGGAAAGATAGTTTAAATCTAGCTAGCAGGAAAGAAGCAACTGGTAGCCAAGATGTTGAAGCTGAGAGCATCGGTGGCAGTACCATTGACAAGAATTGTTTAGAAAGTACTCTAGCTTTGGTAACAAAGAATGAAGGTGAACACATAGAACCAACAAAAGTTCGTTCTACTCTCAACGCAGAGTCTTCTTCTCATGCTGACACTGAGGCGGTAGATGAAATCAAAGGAAGGTCTCAGTCTGAACAGAAAATGGATGAAACAAAAGATGAGTCACAGTACGAACAGAAAACGATGACTGTGATGAGGGGTGGAGAAATGGTTCAGGTAAAGTTTCTGCAATTCTTGAATTATTGATTTCCTTGTAGTTTCCAGGTCTAACTATATGAGTCCTAACTTTTTCTTTTGAATTTTTTGTTCAGGTGAGTTACAAGGTCTACATTCCTAAGAAGACCTCTTCTTTGGGTAGAAGAAAACTCAACAGGTGAAGCGACAACATGAAGATAGTCTATGTCTGACAGATTTTTTTTGTTTTCTGTAGAATTTAAACACAATGGTTACAACCAGAGTTGGTGACAACACGAAATTTCGAATTATCATAGACTTGAATCTTTGAACACATCAATGAAGAGTACATTAAGTTTCATGTCCTGTGTAGTTGTAGCCTCTTAGACAACTCTATTAAGGCTGATCTGTTCTTAATGTCTGATGACTAGGCACTTTTGTTCTTGCCTTCGCTTTGCTACTGCTTTTGATGTTATTGTCTGTTTTCTGATATAACACTGAAGAAGTGATTAATTATCAATAAACTTCCCTTTCTTGGTACCGCTCATGCAAACCCAATCACCTATTGTAGCTACAGAAATGTCCTCCAAGAAGGGAGAGTACCGTTCTATTATATTTGTCAACTGCAAAAGAGCCATTCAATTTATCAGTTCCCATGACTTGCAGGTAGGTAGCTTGCTTGCTATAACAATGCATGACTATTGTGATGAGAGATGAAAGAAAGAACTCTTTAATTACCTGTTCCGATAAGATACCAGAAATGCCAATGGTTGCCCCAGGTTTTGCGAATGAAAGGATATGATCCGCCAGTTCCATAACCGGGTTTAAGAGTATGTTTGCAATGACCACATCAAACTGTTGTTTTCGCAGTGGTATTTCTCTTCCAGAAGAGCTATCCTCACTTGGTGCAAGGTGCAGCTCCAGTTTCTCCAAAGGAATGTTGTTCAGAGCTGCATTATGACTAGCAGATTTTATTGCCAGGGGATCAATATCAACGCCAACAGATGATGCAGCACCAAACTGCAAATTTTGAGTAAGCGTGTACGCGATACACAAAGGATACATGAAGATTTGAAATAAGATGATTATGTTGTGATAACTGGTTTGTGAAAAACTGAGAAAAGGCGTGAAGACTTTTACCTTGAGGGCTGCGATTGCAAGTATTCCTGAACCAGTACCATAGTCGAGGAATGCTTCCCCGCCTTTTATCAAACTTTGTAGAAGCAATAGACACAGCTTAGTAGTAGGATGTTCTCCAGTCCCAAACGCAAATCCAGGGTTCAGAATTATGTTTACCGCTTCAGTGACCTTGCAAAGGATAGTGAAAGATTACTTTTACCCACACATAACTTTATATACCCCTTGTATATATATAAGCTGACACTGAAAGAGGGAGGAGATTCATATTCTGCAAATTCAGTACCCTAAGACCGCTCTTTGTTATGTCAACCAAGGCAAATCATTAACAAGAATATCCAAATGGATGCAATGGTTTTGTCAGTAGGATGAAATTGTTAAAGAGTATTGAATGTTTTATACATACAGGAGGAGATGTCCACTCAGGTACAATCCAAAGCATCTCGGCGATTTCAACAGGCTGAAACAACTCCTGCAAATTATGAACCAAAAGATACAGCTTCAAGTGGCATTTCCGCAAAAAAAGTCAAGTCATTGCGTGAGTTTCTGAGCGTAACTATGCAAGGTTTCTTCAATGAAACAGAAGGTGAAGCAATTACTAAAATGATCCTTCCTTTGTTAAACTCAGAACTCACCTGGTTTTTGGTAATCCAGTCTTGTTCATCTCCTATTTCAACTTTGAATTTGGGTATCTCTTTCAAGCCTATGGAATTTGCAGCCTGTGAAATGCACATTTTCACCTCTTCATGCACTGGAAATATTAATTCTATACATATCTGCAGAGATTAAGACCAAAGAGCACAAGCATGATTGATGAAACTACAATAACATAGACAGATCAAGCCTTAAGATGCTTCCCAGAACTGAGCAAAATCGTTCCTTTTTATGCTTCAATTGTTCAATCATACAAAAGGTTGGTGCTTTCTGGAAATGGAGCTAAACAAAGAATATTAAACCAACAGAGATTTTTCACACCTCTTTGGAAACAAGAGAAGACCCAGAAGCCGCATCTTCGTCGATGTCTTCATCTACAGTTACAGAGCTTGCTCCAAAACACAAGAGCGCCTCCGAGAATGGATCCTAACAAAACCCAACAAGAAAAGAGTCAAATTTCAATCTCAATCTACTTAAAAGAGATCAATGAGAGAGATACACATACGAGGACATGTTTTGGACAGTGTATACGAACTGAGAGATAAGGTGCAGTGAAAGACTCATCAGTGAAGCACGAAGATGATGAAGAAGAAGAATAGGAGAGAGAGGCAGTAATTGAAAAGGAGGATGGAGGAGTAGAAAAAGTGAAGAGGCAGAGAGGTCTGACTCTGTCTCTGAGGATATGGCGGGAGAGATTCTTGCACGGAAAGTGTTTGATGAAATTCCAAGCTAACATTCTCTTTTTTTTTTTCCTCTTTTTCACCCAATTTTCGAATTTAAACGTCTCAAAGGAAAAAAAAAAATAGAGAGAAATTTCCAAATTGCTTTTAACACAAAACAATTTTGAAATAGAGGGAGTATTTATATTTTCTCTCTCTAAATCAAACAATCAATTTTGCAACTTCATAAATATTATTTTCCTTTTTTTGCTTGCGAAAATAGCCAATAGTTAGTGAACTACATAAAATTTTAATGTAGGACCACATGCAATCTATCCAAGATTTCTTATTTACATGTAAGTTTGCTAGACAAGTCAGTTTAGAGCAAAATTAGGAATATAAATATATATATATATCTTGGTATCGTAAAAGTTTATAAAAATAAACTAGTCCGTTGCAGATCTAGAGAAAAAAATTATATGGAGCACCAAACGAAATTTTCCTTTAAGTAATAAAAAATATGGGAAAATAATAATAAAAATGAAAACAATTACAGTTAAGGACATCGAACAATGCGTCTTAGATATGATATGGGCACTTCTTCCAAATGAGCTGAGAGATATTCATGTCATAAGCTAATCAATTAAATAATTAGTAAGAATGAGTGTGGGGCACGTGCCCAACCTCCCTTTACTGTAGATCTTCTCCTGAAACTAGTGGTCCATTCTTTGAAAAAAAAAAAGCTATATTAGAGCATGATTATTGGTAGTATCTTAGAAATATCTCTTAGCAATATTTAAATAATATATTTGTAAAAGTGATAGTTAAGAGATAGTTTTTTTGTGTTAAGATTTTTGTATGATTAATAGTAGGCTCTTAACATGTGGTTCTTAGAAAATTAAAAAAAAATTAATATAAAAATAAAATTTATAATTATAGACAACTTAATAATTGTTGCAAATTGAAAAAATTAAAACATACATGAGATACAATTTATAACATAAATAACATAAAGCACAAATGTTTTAAACTTAATTTATGGAATATTTTGTCCATATATGCTCGACCAAATCGGCGTCTAAATAGATTAGGAGGGAAAGTTGGATTTTCTGCGAAATAGTCGTTCCATAACTGGATGTGTCCTTCTTTTGTTTGTTTTTTTAACCAATCACAATGTGACACCTTGCAACATCTTAAGTTAAGAAAAACATCTTAACTAAGATACAAATCTTAGCTTTAAGATGTTGGTTTGATTATTTTTAATCAACTTTAATCCTAAGATTTGTCTAAGATATTCAACATTTCAACCGATATTCATGCTCTTAGTTGTTTGATCTGATAATTTTTGAATAACTTGAATACGTTGAAATCTCTATAGAAGATACTAATATTAAAGAAGGTAGAGAAAACTCTTTTCCGACACTTATTTATTAAATTTCCAAATCAATACTAAGAGCATGCACTTAGGTGATATTTTTGTGAGTATCATTACCAATTTTTTATATTATTTTACTGTTTGTTATTGTTTGAATCTTTATGATATTGGT